AGAAAATAAAACATTTTTCATCTCTCTCTTATCACATCCCGATGAATTTGTCTTTTAAACAACTGCTGAATCTCTGATTTTATACATTTTTACTGACACCGTCTTGACCCATTTCCTACAAAACATTCACTACTCCACAACCACACGTATCTGTCTAAAATGCAGCTCTAATCCTAATCATGTCACTCTCCAGTTTCAATCACCTTGGGTCAAATTCACAATCCTAAAAAGAGATTAGGAAGTTGTACCCAAAATACCTTTTCCACCTACCATCCATTGCACCCTCCACAGTCCAGCTGTGTGCGTGGTTCTTTCAGTTCAAAGACACCATGCTCTCAAGACCTCAGGGCCTTCGTGCCCACTCTTCGCTCTGTCTGGCACCTTTCTCGCAACCTCTTCCTCTAACTCACTCCTGATTTTTATTTAGTTCCCCACTTGAACAGCAATTTCTGAGGAAGACATCACCATTTTATCTTAACCCAATTAGATCTCCTCACCATACCTCCCTACAAGTAACCTAACGGACTGTGAATCCTGGGACAAGGACCTGGTTTCTTTTCTTTGTCCAGGTTCTGGCCCTTCCTCATCCTTTGACAAATGACTGAACAAATGACCCACATGTACAATGGATTACCATACCAGACCCTGGAACTGTTGCCAAGGGAAGATTACTTTTAAGTCACTAGGAATATTACCCCAAAATCTTAAATGTAAGGCAAAAACTAAAATGCATTTAGAAAACCTAACCTCTCAAATTAAGTGGAAACCATTTTTTTCAGATGGAGTTTAGGAAATTGCTGGAAATAGGGAACTTAATTCTCTTAATATTAGTTTACTAATGAAGCTCTGTCCTGATTTTCTGTATAATTACCATAACAACCTATGTTCAGGGATGATTTTTCAGGATGACCTGTCTGTATCAACTCAGCTTCAATTTAAAGAATAGTGCACATGAAAAAGAAAAGTTATTGAGAGCATAGCTGAAGTTTCAACACTGAGGGGTTTGCCTTTTCATGTTAAGCTATTCATTCCCGCACATCAGGCAGAAGTGAGAGTAAAGTAATCATTAGTTTAACTATGCGATGCTAATTGACTTAACCTCTTCCAAACAGGTTATGTAATATAAACCAGGAGGCTGGCTAAGGTAATATAGTCTTCAGAAAGACATCTGAAGGGGAATAATGATGACTAATGTGTGACAGACCATTGTTCTTTCCAGTAAGAAAACAGAGGCACAAGCAGGGATCTTACAGGCATAGCACCTGTACAACACTGGGTCTGGAAAAGAAAAGTGAAAGTCCTATCTGTTTATGCAGAGACAGGGGAAAGCACCTGCTAAAAAGTCAGTGTTAGTTTATTCAGGAAAGTTATGTTTCTTTAGAGCAGTGCTGTCCAATAGAAATATAATACAAGCCACATATAAAATGTTTAATTTTATTGTAGTAACATTTTAAAAGTAGAAAAAGGTTAAGTGAAATTAATTTTAACAGTATATTTTATTTAATACATAAAATATCATTTAAATATGTGATCACTACTAATTTTAAATATTTATTTCAACAATGTAATCAGTATCTAAAAAATGAGATACTGTATTGTATTTTATTTTTTGGTACTGTCTCTGAAGTCCAGGACGTAGTTTACAGTACAGCACCCCTCACAGTAAACTAGCCTAGTTTCATGTGCTCAAGAGCCACAGGTGGCTACTGGCTATTGCATTGGGCGGTGTAATGACGTAACTCTAGATCTAGTAGCCAAACAGGTGTGGGTGTGTGTGTGTGTGTGTGTGTGTGTGTGTGATGCTATTAGTGGCAACTCCAAAGTAATAAAAGATCTGAAATGTCTTTTGAATAACCAATTAAAGACAATTCTTAAAGTATAATTTTATTATGTTCTAATTCTTTGCATATTGGTAATCCATGGATGGCCTATGGTTAATATAGTAGTGGAGTCCTTAGCTGCGATGCCTTATTTTAACAACCATCTGCTAAGAAATTTTCTTTGTAAAAAGCCTCAGCAAGGATGCAGACTGTGAGTGGAAAAGCAAATGCACAAGCGGCAATCACTAGGGCCTCCTCAGACATGACATCTCCCAGAACAAGGCTGGGCTCAGACCCTCCAGGTGGGAGACTATCTTGTGTTTGGTTCATAGTGGGAAGGACCAGTAGAAAGCAGAGACACTTCTTAGGCAGGCAGGGAGGTGGAGGAGGTGTGTTTGTGTGCAGGAGGAAAAGTACCTCTTCTATAATCATCCAATCACTTCACTGAAAGGGTATCTTACTCTCAGCATCTAACAAACACCCTGAACACTCCAGATAAAGACTTGCTGCTCACTTTGGATTATGGCCACAGTAAATATACCACAGTATTTGACAACATTATCTGCAAAGGTGAGGGTAGCATAGGGAGGACTCCCCTTTTACGGGAGTTGTCTATCTGAATCAAACTTTGATCTGAAATTCTGACACCTACACACTAGTTGACGTGGACAGTATTTTGAATTATGCAGGAGATGGGCATGATTTTGAGAGATCTTTCAGCTTTATCCCCTTGGTAACAAAGCCATTCCAAATGAAAGAAACTCCTTCCTGGCATGGCAGTTACACTTCAATCTTTTCTTATAAGATTGTTTGGTTTGACCAACAACAAAATGTTTTCATTGTGTTTCATTTCAACTGTTACCTTTTAACTTACACATTTAACTTTTTTATCTTTTCTTTTTAACCTGTATTGAATCTATTAGGGTGACATTGGTTAATAACATTATACAGGTTTCAGGAACAAAGTTCTATAGTACATCATCTGTATATTGTAGTGTGTGTTTGCCACCCAAGTCTCCTTCCATCACCATTTGTCCCTGCCTTACCCTAGAAGAGGGAAAAAGGAGATACACAATTTCTTTATAAAAGGGAAAGAAGATATATGTTTAAAACACTGCATGAAAAATAACTTCAGTCAATTCTTTTACAAATAGTCAAAGCTATTTCTACAGCTATTAGTGTTCCCACCAGTAATTGAACAGAAATCTTGTTGTCCGTCCTGCCTTTCATTTCAGTAAATGCCTTTTGTATTGTCATAAATGTCTTTGGCTTGTTATTTCTAAATACACCTCTTATTCACCAGTCAGATTAATGACAATCAGAGTTTCACTTTGTTTTTATTCATCCATCTATCCAATAAAAATTCATTTAATTTGCATTTGTTGTACATTTACCATGTGCTTTCTCAGGATATTTCTGTAGTCGATCCCTAAGTCCCACATACCCAAAGCACATAGGTTTTCCTTCAATTTTGACAGGCATTATTCTCTGAAATTTTATATACTGCTATGACAGCCTTCCAGTTAAAATCCAGACATCTAGAAATAGATTCAGTGCCCTTCTAGACAGGAGTTAGGTGCTAGATAGCAGTAGCTATAATGAGATGAGTCAGGAAACTACAACAGGGCAACAGAAATGAAATGTTCCCTCCCTGAGGTCTCATCAGGATCCTCTGGCAGATCAAGGTTGCCTGCTCTACTCCCTCATTCTGTATCCCACGCCTCCCTCATGCAATGAAAGTTATGATTTGCAGAATTATTCCAAATGGATAGGTCTATAAATGTATTGTGCCTTCCTAGTCTTCCTTTGGGGATGGAAGAGGCTTAATGGGAAGCATGCTACAGACAACTCCTAAACTTTTTTGGATGTTCTCTGAATTAAAAATAAAAGTTCCACTATATGCATATTCTACTTAAATTTATTCTAAATGAAGGGAGCCAGCTTCCCAACTTGAGAAAAAGCAAAGACTTCTATAGAAGAGAGTTAAAGGCAGAGAGTTTAGCTTATCTCAAAAGTTCATTGACAACAAATACAAATATGAAAAAGGTACCAACTGTAACCTTTTATTCACTACTTACAGATAGATGACTCATCGGCTCAGCAGACAACATACTAGCCTGTTCACTTAATTTTATTTGCACTGAAGATGCATACATAAAAAGACAGGGCTTGCATTACAGACCCACGCAGACCTGCCTTGGACAGGGGGTATTCCATCTTTCACTCACTAGCTGAGCAACCTTTAGAAGAAGTACTTGCAACCCTCTGGGCCACAGAGTCTGCATATGTTAAGTAGGAACAATGCCACCTATGACCCAGGGGGGAAATTTAAACAACATATACAGGAATGCCTAACAGTGTTTAGAACAAGACAGGTAGGAATTAATATTGGTTCCTCTTCCTGCTCCACTGCCCTCCCCCACCACCCCTGGCCCCACGGTGTCTCTGTAAGGCAAATTTGTGCCTGGCTTTGAAACATAAACTTTCTCCCCTCCCCCTGGAGAACATGTTCTCCATGTTATCACAAATCTAAGAAGAGATATTAAGAAATGAGTTCAAATAGAGGTATCCACTTAACATGAGAGTTTTGGAAGAGAAAACTTAATAATTATATGTGAAGCCTCATTTTAATTACATTAACAATGGGGATGCCAACCTTTTCTGTGCTCTTTTTTTACACTTTATATTCTAAGTAAAGCCCTATCATTTTCTGTTTTAGAAAGCCCTCAGGCTAAATCACAGGATATGGAGTCAATTCCAACTGTTCTTCCTGCCCTGCCCCTCAGCCTGTTCTCTTTAACAAGGCTGGCAGGTCAAAAATGGAAGTAAAATTCTTTAGTTTTGACAGCTCTATCCTGGCCTTAATGTGCTAAAACTTTAAAATGTACTCTACACATGGGGAACGGGGAGAGGAGAAGCTGTAAGAAATTTTCCTTTACATAGTTTAGTCAGAGTTTTATCAGAGTACTGCAAATCACTGCTGTACCCAAAAGGGAGTAAAATACTGCCAGAAAGAAGGGGGAATCGCTTTTATGTGAAGATGGTGTGGAGCTGAGTGAAAAATCATTCACTTCAAACTGAAAGTAATAGGCAACATGAGTTTTTGCAGGACTTGTGCTACCGTGGAGTCCACAAGTGGGGGATGAGGGTCATTCACTACTGGTCCCAGGTCCGACTCACCTAACTGGAGCTGTTCGCAAGTCCGGTTTGGATTCTTTCCGATCCGGCATCTGTAAATCGCCCCCGGACTGACCACCGAAGCGTTGGAGAGCCAGCTGGCGGTGGGAGCCCCCACGATGAGCCTACAATTGAGAAACGTGCACGTGCGCGTAGACGTGAGCTGTGCTGCCCACAGAACTCCTGGTTTCAGCTGACATGCATCTGGCACCAGGCCGGCTCCCCTCGCCTCCTCCTCCGCCCACCACCCTGAGCACCCAACCGCCCCCCGCCACTAACTCGCAGCTCCAGCGCCTTGTGCCAGACGCACCCCCGGCGCTGCCACCCCCAGATCAGCAGATCTCCAGCGAGCTAGGTATTAAAGTGTTTCCCTTCCGCCTCCCCCTGAGACGAAAGTTTGAACGGGTCAGGAAACCCCTAAGGCACCATTCACTCCCTGCTCTGCCAAGCCGAGGGCGTCCGAGTCCCACTCCACTCACCATCGGTTCGGCCCGTGGCTGTGCAGCACCACTGAGTAGCCGAAAAGGGTGTTGGCGGTGCCTTGGTAAAGTAGCGCGCTCTCAGTGTCCACGTTGTAGGAGCGCCCGGTGGGGACCCCCAGGCACAGCAGCAGCATCACCGCCTCCTGGACGGTGGCCCTTCGGGGACCCGGCCCTCGCCTCGCTTCCTCAGCCATGCGCTCTCGGAGGGGAACATTCAACACCGAATGGCACAATCCCCGAGTTGTGCGGGATGAGACGCAGGCCAAAGGGAAGAAGGCCCCGAGAGAAGAGGCTCAGCGAGCCCAGTGCCAGCAGGCAGGAGGAAAGGAGGAAGGGAAGAAGGGAGGGACGGACGGAAAGAGGGAGGGGAAGTCGGCCCTCGGGCGGAGCAATCGGAGGCCGCCCGGGATGTAGAGCACCCGCCCGTAGGACCCCACGCCCGGTTTCTGCCGCTGGGAGGTGCGGATGCTCCCTCGCTCCTAGGCGCGGGCCGCTGGGTGGGGTCCCGGGTTTGGTGCTGAGGTGAGACTAGGTGCCGTCTACCCACGACCGGCGGCTGCAGGGGGCGCTGGGGGACCTCCGCTGCTCTATGCGCGTCCGGCGGGACCTCGCAGCCTCCTCCGAGAGCAGGAAGACTCTGGGCTCTGGGGGCTTTGCAAGAGTCGCGCTGCAAGGGGCTTGGGCTACCCTTTCTGAGCATGGCTGGGGCGTGAATGAGCCGCGGTGTGGCCCCACTGTGAGCGCAGAGGCCCCACGGCCTGACCCGGTGTAGCCCAAAGGCCGGCCACAAACCTGGGCATCGGATTGTGGCGCGAAACCGACCACATCTTTCGCTGCTAATTAGGCGCTATAACTGCTTTGGGGGCGTAGAAATAACCAGAAGGCCACAAATTGAAAACAAACAAAAGGAACTCCTGAAGGTGCCTGAGCTGCTTTGGTCACAAAGACGTTATGGCTGTTCACTTCAAGACTCAGACTCCTCCGAGCTTCTAAGTCCACTTCCTTACTCTCCACACTTCCTCTTAAGTCCTGCGCTGCCTGGGCGAGGAGGCAGAGGAGCGACCAGCCGGTCTTCCTACGGGCTGAATGGCACGTGGTTTAAGCTGTTCTGTGTTCAACAGCGAGGCTGAGTTAAGAAAGACTGTGACCTGCTTCACTTTAATGAAGAACCTAGTTCTTGTTGCTGCCACTTTCCACGCATCCACCTCGTTACCACCAGATACCCAGTGTAAGGTCAAGAGACAGACACCACAATAACCCTCTGAAGATGCACTCGGGACCCCAGCACAACACATCCAAACTGCGTTAGATTCTCATTCTAATGCAATCCAGATGTGCCTCGGGTTTCTTTCTTGAGCAACCAGAGAAACAGCTGTAGATGATTATCAGGCTGATATCTGTAGGAGGTGTAGGTCCAGTTACTAACTACTGCTGTGTGAAAGAAAAGGGGTTCATCAAGGTGCGTGCACATGTGTGCGTGTACTAGGACCGTACTGAAATAGCACATCTTAAATTGTAATCGTTTGTTCAGCATATTCGTTGAGCAAGCACATTGCAAGATCCACAGGATATCATGGTGAGCAAGGCAGGATAAGCCTTCAGGGAAATGCATGATAGAAAGACAAACTTTTACTGACAAGAGAAAGTTCAGAATGTTTAGGGACACTTAGAGATTGGAAGGTCAAGGAGGGTTCGGTTAGGCTAAGCAGTGTGAAAGTAAGAATGAGGGCAGGCTCTAGCAGGACTAGGTGGAAGAACTGGAAGAGGTGGTCCTGGTGGAGCATTTAGTTGTCCACAGGCAGATTGGAATGATATGAGGCTCACTAGGGAAGCAGGGACACATCAAGAACCACCCAAGCCAGGTTAGAAAATTTTACCTCTCTGCTGGGGCTGACAGGAAGCTGTGGAAAGATTTGTTTTGGTCAGCTGTGTGTTTCAGAAGTGTGAGGAAAAGACTGAATACAGAAAAACTAATTTTGGAGGCTCCTGTAGTAATTAATGAGTAGTGAGATGATGGTGGCGGCCTGAACTAGGAAGTGGCAAAGGAGGGACAGAGGAAATAATGCATTCAAGAGATATGAGTGACAGGACCCAATAAAACTTGGTGCTAGCACTGGTAAATACAAACATGGAGCAGAGATGAAGGAGTCAGGGTGATGCCCAAGATTTGAGCTCAGGATCTGAGTAATATGATGATAATTCACAAAGAAAAAAAATGCACAGAAGGAACAAGGCTATGCATGTGTGCATGCATGGGAATGGACATGCGCATGGTGTGTGATGATGAATTAAGTTTTAGGAGTTTGAGATATCTGTAAAATGGCAAGGATATTCTAGCCAAACCCAACCCAATCATTTGTACTCTTGTCAGCAGACAAAACAAGAGGAATAGCAGCCTTTCCTATTATTTGCAATAAAGTAAAAGGCAAACTATGGTGTGTGTCACATCTATCGTAAAAATGAAATGAAATGGCTTCTAGAAAGGTAGATAACAGAGTCCACTAAAAATGGTCCTGCTTTGTTTTGCCACCCAAAGATTATTTTTTTCTGAATAGACATTCATGCTGATTTCAACCGAGTTCTGCAACTAGCTCACATTGCCATCATTCTGAAATTTAAGCAATTCCTCTTATTGTGCAGCCACATTCCCAGTTGATGCCCAGGGAGAAGCTGTATCAAAGGCACTTCCACATTCTCCAGACCCTGGCAATGTCAGAGCCGCTGATCGGAACCCACACTTTTCTCTTTCTCTCCCTTCACCAAAATCTTATGTGATGAAATCCACTCAACACAATTATTTTCATTAGCATAATTAAAGTGAGTAGCAGCCAGTAGAGCATGATTGTTGTTATAGTTACAGTGATACTACCTTTCCAGAAATAACCACCCTTTGTTACCTCAACATGCTCTGTTAGCCCCAAGTTCCCTCCCTCTAAGAGACCAGTTCACTTTTTCCTAGGTCAGCAGAAATAAAGGGAGTTTAATGTTGCTTTGACAAAGGCTGTAGATAATTGCTTTCTCTCTAATCAATGTTTTTGTAGGCAAGTGTGAAAAATCAGGTAGGGAGGGGGTACATGGAGGTGTTGGAAAAAGACTTAAAAAACTACTATGCTGCCCTGGCCCCTGTGGTTCACTTGGTTGGAGCATTATCCCATAACCAAAAGTTCACTGGTTTGATTCCTGGTCAGGGCGCATGCCTATGTTGCAGTTTTGGTCCCTGGTCTGGGTATGTAAGATCCCCAGGCCAGTGCATGTGGAGAGCAACTGGTGGGTGTTTCTCTCTCACATTGATGTTTCTCTCTCTTCCTTCCTCTATCTCTAAAAACAATGGAGAAAAAAACATTCCTTGGGTGAGGGTAAAAAAAATTTAAAAATAGATAAATGAATACTACATATGCCTACTCGTAACCTTCAACTGAACTTAAATATTCACTCATTCAATTAATATGTGTCATTTGATTAATATGTATCAAGCTTCCACTGTGTGCCAGGAGCTGCTTTAGGGACTCAATTAAGAGTAAAAGACAAAATACAGTGCTTTCCATCCTCAGTAAAAAGTCCTCCCCAGTAGAGAGGGTTCTAATATGGGCTCACCCAACTTCTCAGTTATTATCAAGAATGAACATTTTTCCTTCTTGAAAGTCTATGTTATAGTATTTTTGAGCCCCTCCCCCCCTTTCTATCTGGCCATTCTGAGTCTCCCTGCTGGCTTCTTTCCCTCCACCATAGTGTAAGAAAGACCCAGGGCTCAATCCTGGGCCCTTTTTTTCTTCTCTTTCCATCTCTCTCTTTAGGAGCTCTAACCCTTTTCTTATGTCTTTAAATACCAGCTAAATAATACCATTAAATACCGCATGAGTCCCCAATTCATGTCTCTACCTGCCCCTCTCTTCTGAGCTCCATGGTCAGAAGAACTCCATTTGTTTATCTACTTCTGCCCTGCTACAACCTTCTTCCAACCTGCAGTGACCTTAGCTGGGCTATTCAATAGTCCACTACCTGGTCCTCCTATTTGCTCTTCCTTCACAACATCAATTTTCTCCATTGATGCTAAAGTGGACTTTTACAATTCTAAATCAAATAATGCATGCCACTGTCTTGCTTTAAATCCTATGAATAGTTTCCCACTGCTCTTCCAGTACAAACCACACTTTACACATTCCACATGGGCTCTGTAATCTGGTCTCTGAACTACTTTGCCAGCTATCCATTGGCCATGTCTTCCAGGACCACTTTGCTTGAGCCACATTAACCTTCATTAACCTTTCTTTTTTTTCTTTTTAAGATTTTATTTATTCATTCATTCATTTATTCATTTATTTATTTATTTTTAGAGAGTGGGGAAGAGAAGGAGAAAGAGGAGGACAGAACTATAAATGTGTGGTTGCTTCTCACTCACCCCATATTGGGGACCTGGCCCACAACCCAGGCATGTGGTCCTGCCTAACTGGGAATCAAACTGGTGACCCTCTGGTTTGCAGCCCACACTCAGTCCACTGAGCTACACCAGCCAGGACCACATCAGCCTTTCTTAAGGTCCTTAAGTACACTAAGGTTTGTTCACCCTCGGGGTCTTTGCTTGTATATTTCCATCTGCCTGAAGACACAACCTGTGCCTTTTCATGATTTTTCTCTTTCCCCAGTCTCAGCTTAGAGGTGTTGTCCTCACAGAGGATATTCCTGCTCATCTATAAAACCTGTCACTATATTATTCTCTGGCAGACATTCCTATTCATTCTCTTCATAGCTCTTTAATTTATACTCATGTATGTATTTACTGTTTCATTTTGTTTTCCTCTCTAGGATATTAGAGAAGACATATGTTGTGTTATTACGGCTGTTCACCACTATCTCTCCATCACCTGATATGCCACCTGGCAAACAGCAGGCAGTCAATGAGTACTTTTTCTTAAATGGCTCTTATGTGATTTGGACATGCGATGTCATAAACTGAGATAAATCTAGATATTTCTGTAAATTTGTGTTGATGTATCATTACATGCAAAACAATGTGTTAGGTCCTCTAGCAAATTCAAAGACATTTAAAACGTGAGTACTACACCCAAACACCTTATCATTTACAAGTAGAGAGACAATGTGCTTTAGAGGACCAGAGAACATAGTCAAGCGAATGTCATATACGTTGGGTAGAGAAGAGACAGCTGGTTGCTAACCAATGGTGTAGGTGTAAAGGGCGGTCTTGAGACCTGGATTTGCATAGAGTGTAAGGCAGAAAAAATGAAAGAACTGACATAACACATTGGGAAAAACTGATATAAACCGCCAGGTGCAGGTAGTATGGAAAAGTAAAATATGACTGCATTTTTCAGCTGGACAATGGTAGTAATGTGAAAAAAACAAAACCGGAAGCAGCCGGAAAGAAGAGCTGGAACGGCAGCGGGAGGGCAGCGTGTGTTTGGGTGGCTCTGACTGGGTTCCAGAGATGAGTCTGCGGTGTGGGTGGAACTTTCATAAACGTCTGGCATGTATTGTTTATTTTTTTGTTTTTGATTTTTTACTTTTCCTTTATTAGATATTCTTAAATTACTGATTTAGTATAACATGTAAAACATTTAGTGATATATAAAGCAAATATTTACAATTTTTTCAGTCTTGTCTTCCTCCAATCCAGTCTTTGAGGTACTCCCTTTTCCCCCTAAAGTGTTTGTCTCAATGTCCTCTTTCTTTTCTTTTTTCTTTTCTTTTTGGATGGGGGAGGGGGGCGAGGGAAAGAGAGAGAGAAACAAGAGAAACATTGATGTGAGAGAGAAAAAAAATCTATCAATTGCCTTGCATACCCTCCCTGACTAGGGACTGAACCTGCAACCTAGGCATGTGCCCTAACCAGGAATCAAACCTGCAACCTTTTGGTGTACAGGACAAGGCCCACACCAACTGAGCCACACCAGCCAGGGCTCAATGTCCTCTCTTGAGGGATCCAAGCTAAGATCCCTCAAGATAGGATCCAATTAAGAGAGATTACTTTTTTCACAGTAACAAAGCTCCCCAAAAGAAACAAGAAACTCCGATTCTTTTATTCTGATATAGAGACAAGTATATTATTAGCCCAAATTTCCTGATGCTAGTTTGAATGTGAATATCAATGACAAGTTTGCTTTTCAAGAAACATGAAACAACGCCTTCCAAATTACAAGAGCTTTTAAATCTGCTGAGAAACTGGGTGAAAACACACCTCAGAATCCCCTACTTCTAAAAGCCCAGGAGGCTGGGGCATTTATCTAAAGACTCATCCTCTATTGGTGGAGGGTTAACCTCACCACACTTACAGGTGACACGTGTTTGC